ATATATATATATATATATATATATATATATATAGGTTCAACAATTACAAGATTCTATGTCAGAAATTAAACGATGTATGTCAAGTATGCAATCAAAATCCAATCTTATTGATAATGGTGTTGCAACTCAAACAGAAATCTCAGCTGTTCATACTCCGGCAGGCGAAGAAAATTTGTTTCCTTACGCTCGTCCACATAGACCACAAACATTGCCAATTCATCAAACAATTCATGAAGGAAATGAAAATAAAAGTTTTGCATCTAATTTGATTGATAGTGTTTTAAAAAAAGTATCTCAATCCACTGATACGACAGATGATGAAGTTAATACTGACATTCTAAACTCTAATGAAAATCCCGAAGTATTAAATTCAAATGATCATCCTGATATGTTTAAAAGTTGTGAAGAGATTATAGAACCTGATTTCAAGGATGTAGTAGAACATGATGTAAAAAATGAATATGATGTAATTGATAATGCTGTTATAAATGGTGAAGTTTGTGAAGAAACATTATGTAAAGAATTGCACAATTTAATTGAAACAGAAATTACAACAGAAAATTGTATGAACTTGAAAAAGGAAAATAATTTAGAAGAAATTGAGAAGGAGTAATTTTAATTTGAAAAAACATATAGAAAATAGTAAGAAAAAGAATGAAGGTGCAAACTTAAAAGCCTTGAACAAAAATAATAAGAAACAAACATAAATTCTAATAAATAATCTAATGTATGAATGAATGAATTAATCTGAGAAAACATATAGAAAATAATAACAAAAAGAATAAAGGTGTAAAGTTAAAAGCCTTAAACAAAAGTAATAAGAAACAAACATAAATAAATTTCAATGAATAATCTAACGTATGAATGAATGACATTAATACATTTTTAGCTAAAAGTATTCATTGTACATAAGTTCAAAAACTAGTCTTAATTATATTCAGATTCCAAAATTTAATGCTTTTAATTATATTGTATCTATAATATTTTAAAATCAAACTCATCAAAGTTCAAAAGATTATCATACAATATATTTAAAAAGAAAAAGTACCAAAGACATAGTTTTAAATAATCATTTTATTAAGTTAATTTATTATGTACATCGTGGTCATTAAAGCAATTTTGAAATTTTTCCGTCCACATATCTGGCTTTTGAAAAATTTATCGATGTACAAAATGTATTAAGAATGTCTTACAAAAGCTTTGCCCCTTCTTTAAAATATCATAAAAATATTACTGTACAGAAGAAATGATGTATTTAATGTCGTGAATTCCAATTTCAGAATTCGTCAATTCTCAGATTGAAATATTTATAAGCACACAAATAAGAATTTTGATATATGATGCATTCCTTAATATTGCAGAATATTTTTAAGTTTTGCTAAGAAATTTCTTGGATAATATTACCTAGATAATTATTGTTTTATATGTATTTATTTTTTTATTTATTTATTTATTTAAAAGTATAAATTCTAGAAAGAATCAATGTTACTCTAAAATGTAAGTAATAATGAAAACATTTTTAATCTAGTCACTACAAAAACTACATATAATTGCTGTAGATATTAACTAAAACTTGTTATATAGATATACAGTGTTATTAAAACAAATAAAATCTTTCAACGAAAACGAATTAATTGTTAAAAAATGAGTTTTTGTTTATGACAAAGAACGCTACAAAAATTTGTTTATATGTATATTAATTAAGTTTTATTATTAAAAACATTTCCATAAAATAAATCATATTGTAAGAATATTATTACAATGAAAGAAACTATATGTGAGCTCTTACTAAAACTGTCTTAAAATTTATTTTGCGTGACTTACGTCACATAAGACATTCGATGCTCAGAATTGTTAAGAACTAAATATAAATGTTAAATAAATAAGTCGTACACATGAATAGATGTTTGTAATAATATTTACTCTTTTATATAATTGATTTCTGTACATGATCTATTTAATCTGTTCCCTCCATTATAATATCCTAAAATATTGGAATGCATTCTTTTAAATTATGATAAAAAATAATTATTCAAATATAATTAAATTTTTATAACAACAATATACTATACAAAATGGATATTTAATGATATAAGCATGCTTCACATGTTCCTTTTATACTTAACAACTTTTAACAAAATATATACAAAATATATTTTTAACAGAATAATATTCACAGCAATATATTTTCAACAATTATAATGCTTTTGTTTCTTCTTGTACATTGTACATGAAGATTGTTATTGAATAATAAAAATGCTTAAATGAAAATAAATGATATTTATCAAAAAAAAAAAAAAAAATAAAAATGAATATAGATATTTAAGATATTTTTTTATATACAAATTTTTTTTAATAATTTTAGCTAAAATACTATTATTTTACAATGTTTTTTTATTTTATTAATGTTTTTTTAGAAAACATTAATATATAAAAATGATTTCACTTTTATTTTTAATTTAAAATATAGATAAAAAATATATTTACACAATTTTATTTTATAAAATATTAAATAAAAAATATTTTCATTTAAACATTCTTTGACAAGAAGCTTTTTCAATTACTAGGTATGAATTCATAACTCTTTTAACTTTATCAATCTCTAATAAAATATCTTTATTATTAGGAGATTCTAATAATGCTTGCTTTAAATCTGCTAAACCTAAATCATATTCATTTAGTCCCATATGTGCCTGACTTCTCCTAAATAAAGCTTTACTATTGTTCTTCTCTAATTGTAAAACCTAAATATAAAATATTTATTAGATATTTCAAAATATTTATAATTTATATTCAATTATATTTTACCTTTGAACAAAGTTTTAAAGTTTCACGATAATCCTTTTCTTTCAATTTAACAGCAGCAAGATTAAGTAATAGTGTCACTTTAATATTCATCATTAATTCATTAGAATTAGATACATCTATTGTCTTTGTCATCCATTTGTAATATCGTAATGCTTTTTTATATTTTCTGCCTGCATCTACATAATTTTTTCGTAAGAAATAATAATTTCCTGAATCTTTTATCTTCTTAATAACTTCCATCATATATTTGTACTATAAATATCCATAAATATGAAAAATAATTACAAAAATAATTCTTTTCCAGAAATATATATGATAAAGATTCTTACATCAAGTTGTTTAATATGTCTAGAATAATTCCAATCTTCTGGCCAAGGAGTAAACACATCATCTGTACCATCATTTTCTTCCATACCCCAATTTTGATCTCCTTTTAATTCACCACAATCAATTATATATATTTTCTATAATAAAAAATATTCATAAAAATTAATAATAATTAAATTCAAATATAAAAAATTAAATAAAATATTTGTTTACCTCAATTGGTATATCATTAATTGTTCTAATTTGAGATACTTCTAATACAACACCCATTCCTTTTAAAACTTTACCAAATACTACATTGGTATTATCCAAATGTGAAGTGGCTGAAATAGTAATTATAAACTGAGAACTATTGCTATTTGGATAACCTTCATTTACCATGCTTAGTAATCCTCCAGATGAATGAGTGAGCCCAAAATGTTCGTCCTCAAATTTTATTCCATATATACTTTCTCCGCTTGTTCCATTAAAATTTATTATATCTCCACCTTGGATCATAACCTGTGATAATACTAAACCATACAAAACTTCTTCATTAAATATTAATCTTTTTATATCATTTTTAAAAAATATTATTTTTAGTATACCTTTATGAAATGTTGATCCTTTATAATGTAACTTTTTACCATTGATTCCAATACCTTTTTCTCCAGTACATAATGCACGAAAATTTTCTGCTGTTCGAGGTACAACATCCTTAAAAAGTTCTATCACAACTCTTCCAACTATATTATATAAATAATTTTTAAATTCAAATTAAATGAAATATAAAAAAAAATATTAATATACATTAAAAATTAACTTGTTTATTTTTATGATTATAACCCTACCTTTTTCAGATTCAATTGCTATATCTAAAAACACAATTGGATTTTTTTTACAATTATTGTTTTCATTCGTTAATGAAATTTCCATATTTTAACTAATAATATTTATCCATATATGAATTAGATTTTTCAAATCTTGTTTGCTTATTAAGCCTATTACCATAAACGTATTATATTATAGATTTAACATCTTATGAAATTTTTCTTACGCGAATTGAAATTCTGATTTTAAAAAAATTAATAATTTTATTGTCCTATATAATTTAAAACAATAAATTCAAATACAAACATGATATTATTTTAATATCATTCTTAAGATTGAGCTTAGAATAAAATTACAATATTTTAAAATAAATTTCAATAAAAAAAGAATGGAACAAATATTCTATTATAGAATATTTTGTAAACATATATGAAATATTGTATTTTATACGTGATTATATTTACATAAACTAATATGAAATAAATTATTGGAATAGTAATTTTACATTAAAGATTAAAATATATTGTAATTTTAAAAGAAAAATTATAAAAATGTCAATTGATATTTTGTATTTCATAAATAATCACGTGCCAAGAATAAATAAAGACAAGAGCATATTAAGAGAAAGACAGAAATAAAATAAAAATATAGAAATCAACGCCATCTCTAGAATGTTACAAATAAAACGCATATAAATAAAGACTGCAAATAGTAGAAAAAGAATGAAGATAGAACGAGAATTGATTATCAACTCTATCTGAGAAGATAGATCGGTATTTGCACGATCGGTATTTCAGAAGATGAAACAAAGTTCCATTAAATAATAAATTTATCTTGTTTCTTATTTATGATTCATGAATTAATATTATCAAAATAATAATTATATAAATATTAAAAATTAATAATTATTTAATTATAAAATTTTTTTTATAAAATTTTTAAAATACCTGATCTCTCTTAGAATTTAAAACTCGTTTAAAAAATTAATATAATATCTTGTCAAAATATTAATATTTTTTTTTAAGCATTTTTTTTAATATTTTAATTAAGAATTAATTAAGATAAGAATTTATTACTATTTTAATGTTATATTCAATCATCAGTGATGGTACATTATTTTATTTTATATTATAGCAATATACAAAACAATGCATCGAGTATTATAAATGTATTAAAAATGTATTGAATTTTATATCTATATAATATTTAGTTTAGGACTGTTCTATATTATTGATAACCCCATTCTTAATATTTATAATACAATTTTATTTTTTTAATTTTAATATCAGTTTTTTTTATTTTAGATAATAAAATTTACATAGTTCATAATTATTATAATGATTTCATGCTAAAAAGCCTATTTGAATTTATTATGATAGCAAAATAACATTGAAG